CGGGAACCTGGAAGGGACCAGGCGCAGTCAGAACTTCAGGCTTAAGGAGGCCGTGTCCACTGGTGGCCATGGTCCTGTCCTGGGAACCAGCTCTCCCCCTTCATAGCCCAGACCTGGGGTCAGGAAGCCAAATCCCCAGGGGGCCACCCGCCAGCATGGAAAAGGGGTCACTCCACTTTCACCAACAGGCTGCCAATCATTAGGGGACAACAGCCCCCACGATGGCCACATGATGGTCACTCAGCAGGTTAGGGCACACGCGGAAGCTGGTCACCATTCTCACCTCCTCTGTCCATGGGACATGCTGCTTCTGAATGGCAGGTACAATAGGATCCTTGGAACCCGCCGTCACTAACGCACAGGGCATCTCCTTTGCAGGTAATCAACAGTGCCATGTGTGACTCTTACCAGGGGACCAAATTCTCTGTAAGCCTGGTCACTGGGGCTAGCTGAGACCATGCAATCAAGAAAACACCCAGGAGGTGCATCAATTCCAGTAGGATCCATCTCCCCTGCCCCAGGGTGGAAGGGTCCAGCATTGTCACCTCCACAGGGGTCTTTCCTGTTTCCTCCAGCAAGGGACCCACCTGGGCTTAGCATTCGCCTCTATGGCTGGCAGGGAGGACACGGGCAGTGACCGCGGCTAGATCAGCCTCAGTGAGTGAGTCGATGCTCCTGGGCCCCTACGCGGTCCCCATGCCGACCACCATGCCAATTCACACACGTGCTCACGGTGCCAGCCTGGGACAGCCGGTGACGCGGCTGGCTGATGTCAACCTAGTCAGCCTGCATCCTTGGTGGCTTAGTGGCTTCTCTCTGTGAGGAGGGATCTTTACACTCCATACCCTGCCACCCATCCAACCCACACCTCTTCCCGGAGCTGCTTGTCACCAGCCCCTTTAGATCTTCCAGGGCTCTGAGTAAACTACTCAAGCCATTTGCCACCATCCCTGGGCCCGTGTGCACTCCCCGCTCAGAGAGCTTCTCTGCCCCCCGAGAGGGAGAGAAAGGGAGAGCCGCGGAGCTCTGTGCACTGGGAGGATGCCCCGCTAAGTGCCTTTGGGGCCACCCCAGTGGGACTGAAGTTCATGCACAGTGTACCTGTGCCATGGACCAGAATGAGGGCGAAGGAAGCTGAGCTCTTCCTCTTCCAGCAGTTTGGTCCTCACAGGTGCCCGCACACCCAAGGTCTGGGACAGTGCCCTGGGCCAGCCGCGGGGAGGCCTGGTGTGTCCCCCGCTGTACACTGCCTGGTGTCTTCTGGCCCTGCTCATCAGAGTCCCACTGTCCTCTCACTGTGGATTGCTGCTGGCCCACCAATTCCACCTGGCTGAATGGTCACTATGCCCCAGGCCCAAACCCCCTCTCTGCCAGGACTCCTGTCACTGCAAAGGCTGATTTTCAGAAAGCTAATACCCTCCACGGCAAGTGATCCCGCCTTACTTTAGAAACTAAGGGAACCTCGACTGGGAACAGGGTCGCTGGACTCATTCCTGGGAGCTTGATCCACTTTGAGTTGAGTTTCGTGCAGGGTGAGAGACAGGGGTTTAATTTCATTTTGCTGCATGTGGATTTCCAGTTTTCCCAGCACCTTTTGTTGAAGAGGCTATCTTTTCTCCAATATATGTTTTTGTCACCTTTGTCCAGTATAACTGTATTTATGTGGGTTTGTCTCTGTGTCCTCTGTTCTGTACCATTGGTCTACATGTGTATTTTGTTGCCAATACCGTGCTGATTTTGTTACTATAGCTTTGTGGTATAGTTTAAGGTCTGGTACTGTGATGCCTCCTGATTCACTCTTTTTGCTAAGGATTTCTGTGGCAATTCTGGGTCTCTTATTTCACCAAATGAATTTCATGGTTGATTTTTCTATTTCTATAAGGAATGATGCTGGGATTTTAATTGGGACTGCTTTGAATCTGTATAGCACTTTGGGTAGTTTTGACAATATTAATTCTGCCTATCCAAGAGCATGGGAGATCTTTCCACCTTCTAATGTATTCTTCAATTTTTTTCTTGAGTGTTCTGTAGTTTTCATTGTGAAGGTCTTTCACTTCTTTTGCTGATTCCCAAGTATTTTATTTTATTTTAATTTTTGAGGCTATTGTGAAGGCCCTGATTTCCTTAACAAGACTCCTAAAGCACAAGAAATAAAACCAAGAATTAATAAATGGGATGGACTCAAACTAAAAAGTTTCTTCTCAGCAAAAGAAAAATCAATGAGGTAAAGAGAGAGCCTATGTTTGGGGAGCAAATTTTTGCCACACACACATCAGATCGA